ACTTTCAAAAGAGGATATGTTAGTAAGTTTTGATTCACCAGTCTGCCGATGCAACATAAGAAGACTGACAAACTTGATGCTCGGGAGTTTATCGCATCAAATGCGGCAACTATGAGCATAAGTATATTCGTGAAACGGGAAGAAAAATCGGCCTACGAATCAAAAACATCAAAGACTTTGCAGGAACATGGATACACAAAGATCAGAAATAGCGGAACACATTGCACGAAAGGGGCACGGAATCGAATGGAAATCGACCGAAATGTTGGCTGCATGTGGTAAATATACAAGAAAACGCAAAATCCGAGAGACCATCGAATTACTGACTGAGAGAAATCTAATGAACAAGAGACTTGAAGAAGTCAGGATTAGCGAAAACTTTGCATATTGCCTAAACAAATTCGGAGAAGAGCAGGCAACAGTAAGATCAGCAAAAAGTAGACGACTGGATCGAGGTAATATCCTAACTTTTAGGAAAGAGATCGCAGGGGAAGTAGAAATCAACAATCATAAGCAAAGAGGAGACGTCTTCAGTGAGCCTGATTAAAACAAGTGGAACCACAACATTTCTGGGTTGGCACACAAGAATCTAGGACGTAGGAAGCGATGGACATGCTATTACGGATAGGAACAGGAAAGACTAAAGTTATTGACCTAACAATAGACGTGTCTGATCATAAATGTGATCCATCAATCACGACTATTGTTAGCTAACTAGCTCTAGCTTCCATCGTTTCTATCCTCTTTCTATCTATAATACCAAGTCTATTACTGCCTATGCCTTAGTCTCTTGTGTGCCAACGCACAAATGTTCTGGTTCATCATTGAACCAAATCAAAACAGGCTGAACCACAACATTTGTGGGTTGGCACGCAAGCAACTAGGGCATGACAAATCATAGTCTTGGTATTAGGGATAGAGACAGGATAGACGAGGCGGCGATTGGAGCTAGTTAGCTGACGGTAGGTTTTATAAGAGACGTGATCTATGTAGCAAAGGTATGACCATAAGACTTACTCTGAGGCTTTGGCCTCTAATCAATCACTCAGGTGCAGGGGATGGACGAAGTACGCCCCGAGTAGCACGGAGGGGGGGGCAGGGGTCGAGTGAAATACATGTACGAGGGAGATAGCAGACGGATTCTACGGGGCAAGAGGGAAACGTTGATATGACCCAGGGAAGGACTATGTAACAATATGACAGACTCTGGTCAACATTCCCAGCACAAGTGTCAAGGGGATGATAACGAAAGTATAGAGTGTGAAGGGTTTTCATGAATGCCGCTCGAAGGAGCACACCACACTACATTAAAAATAAACACGTTAAAAATTGTGACAGGGAAGGCATGATAGGAGGATTTAGGAAATGTAAATAGCCCAGGGCAGAAGGGGAGATACCACAACTGTTTAGTACACGGTCGAAGGATGGGTTTTACTTGTCTAGGTGACGAGTTTGTAATATGGTGCTACGAATGGCGAGGCTCACTGACGCTGCTGACTAAGATGCCGGCGAAAGTCTGGGAATGTACCACGTCCACGGTTCAACTTTGGAAATGATTATGCATACAATGGACTTAGGACAAGGTGCGTTTGTATAAGTCTTCCTACCAATATGACCGAGTAGCGAAAACAAGGTCAAACAACTTCTATACAACGAAAGGAGACTGTGACCACACAAAAGGCCACACCATCTTGCTCTTCATACCCTTGATTAAACTGTAGAAAATAATAGAAGTTGTTTGACCTTGTTTTCGCAACTTGGTCATATTGGTAGGAAGACTTATAGGAACGCATCTTGTCCTGAGTCCATTTTATGCATAATTATTTCCAATGTCGGACCGTGGACGCGGTACATTCCCAGAAAATAATGTCTTGAGTAGAACGGATACGGTGGCAGTGATGGAGTGAAATCACTGCAGCAGACAGATAACAGAAGGATCCAACGGAGCAAGAGGGGACTCTAATTGGACCTGAAGGGATAGGAGTATGGATTAAATAGCAGACTTTGATCAACACTCCTGGAACAGTGGGAGGAATGTGAAAACCAGTGGGAAGTTTGAATAGGTTTTAAATAAGTTTAGATAAATAATTAAAAAATAGTGATATTTGAGGTGTGATACGAGTATATAGGCGGAAGGAGAGATAGAAGGTATGAAGACCAAGATGGTGTGACCTTTTGTCTGGTCGCAGTCTCCTTTCGTTGTATAGAATTTGTTTGACTTTGATTTCGCAACTCGGTGAAATTGGTAGGAAGACTTAGAGGATGCACCTAGTCTGGAGTCCATTGTATGCATCATAATTTCCAGAGTAGGACCGTGGACGTGGTACATTCCCAGACGTTTCGCCGGCATCGTAGTCGGCATCGTTAGTGAGTCTCGTTATTTGTAGCCCCATATTACAACTCGTCAAAGGGACAAGGAGAGATAGGAAAGAGAGAGGAAGGAGAGATACCACAACTGTTTAGCAGACAATTGGTCAATGGATCGAATTCACTTGGCTCTTTGACGAGTTTTAGTGTGCTGTTAAGACTGGCAAGGCTCATTAGCGATGCCGATTACGATGCCAGCAAACGTCTGGGAATGTACCAAGTTCACGGTCTGACTCGGGAAATTACCAAGAATACTATGGAATTCTGACAAGGTGTATTTCTCTAGGTCTTCCTGCCAATATTACCAAATTGCGAAAACAAGTTCATACAACTTCTATATAACGAACGTACTCCGCGATCATAAGAAAGGCCACACAATCCGTGTCTTTATATCTTCTAAAAAAAGATAAGTGTTGTAGGGAAGGATGCAGATTTTCGGTAACAAATGCATCCATTTCTCGTTTCAATTACACCCACTTCATGTGTCATCTTCAGCCATTTGACTTTTCAACTGCATGTAGGCAAAGCATAAGATCTCCAACCAGATCATGAGATGTCTCACGAAGTGGATTGAGCCAAACTATAAAAAGTAGACAGAATTGCAGCCAATAATCCTTTCTTGTCTTCGTGCATGGTGAATTATCGTACGGCACCGTGTTATTCTCTGACGATGTCTCTCATATGACGAATGATGCTTCATCAGATTCTCAGGTAGGTACGCCGAGGACCTACTCGCACAAACTTATTGTTGTGGCTCCAAGACAATCTCCCTACAGCTTCCTGTGAGGTCAACTTAGGAATCCTTTAAAACAGAATGAAAGGTACTCCAGCATGATTTTATTAGGGCATTCTTCGACAACCAGATTTTCTACATGTTAACTAGAAGCGTTCTTTCTTTGAAAATAAATCAAACTTATTCAAGATGTCTTAAAAATAAGGTTTTACTGTTTCTCTACTAAGTAGAAGAATTTTATTTACACTGCTGCCGAAGATGAGAGGAAACTGTCACGTTATTATGTCACGTGAAATAATGTCTTGCTGAAGAAGATTGGAATATATGGGCTAGAATATCGACACTGATCTATAATTTTAATTTAGCTGCACGTTAAAGTGTATCAATTACATGATTCATACCTAATGCCTTCATGCAGTAAACGAGTATTTCTATTTGATTTCTGTCATATTTTACTGCACTTCCCTATGATCGGTAAATATTTCATTAAAAATTTCTTTTATATACTTAATTCGATCCTGTTCTTTTAAACAAATAATATTATTCTTATTATCCTACGAGAAGCCGGAAAGTGTCCTGTTGTTTATCTCCTTAAAATCACCTTCCACATATAATCTTCTTTGAGCCTTTATTTTTTATATAAAGCAATACAATAGGCTTCTAACTCGCATTAAAGAAAGTCGCTTAAAATTATACTCAATTAAACAGGAAAATGTATAAAAATTACCTCATTTTGATTTTCTACAAGAACTTGGTCGTATTCGTTTAAGGCTACAAGGAAAACAATTGATGTTACATTCTCAAAGCAATGAATCCATTTCCTCCGTTCAGATCTCTGTCCACCAACGTCTACCATCCTTTATAATAAAGAAAAAGGATAAAAATGATTTCAAAATAGGATGACATCAATGAAATTTACATCGTATTATTCTCTCCTCTATGGATATAAGGTCAAGTAGGCTGCTACGTTAACTGTCCCAAATGATTTCCCTGAGTTCAAGCTCATCATTAGTTCTTTTCGATTTTTAATCTTAAATTAAAAAAGAGTTGAGGCCTAGGGCCTATTAAAAATTATCAAAAATTAATAATTACCAACTAGGCACAACTATGTCACATGTGCGTTGACAATTGTTTAATAATAATAGACGGTCCGTCTCAGTGCTAGGTTAATTTAATCTAAATAGAGGATTTCTGTTTGAGAAAGCTAAACTTAGTAGCCCGATATAAGGAGGATTGATTTGGCGTCCTTAATGATTTATTGGTAAAGCAATTAAGAAAATTTTGTGGTTAGACAGATTGTTGATTTTAATATATTATTTGAGTATCAAGGATAGATTTGTATTTTTATATGTTAACTGTGAGACTGCATTATTCTTTTGGTTTTCATAGTCTGTTGTATCGAAATTTGGCATTAAAATATATAATCTAATTGGGTTAATAAGATTTATTTAGTGACGAGTTACCTAATTTGGGGATATACTTAATAGGATCTTCGAATATTATACTGTAACAGAGGTAAGTTTAACATTTTTTTCAACTGGGCTAGTTTGGCAAGATCGGACCTATCGATGTGGTTGATTGTTTGGTTAATAAAGATTTTCCCAAAATTTTAGTTTTTGATCAACTTCTAAGTGTGATTTTTTTTTATTATTAAAGGCATTATATGAGTGTGACATTCTTCCTGGTTAGTTGTTTGATGTTAGTAATTGAAGTAGTATGTTAATTAAGATCTAAGGAAAAAAATATGTAAAAAAAAATTGGTTGAAATGCTTGCTAATTTAGCTTCTTGTAAAGCCTTAGCTAATATTTTATAGGAATGTCTTTTCTTTTGCAAAAAAAGTAATCGATAGTATAAGCATAGGATGTGACCCGCAAAAGTTAGGGTCTTTTGATAATATGGAGAGCAGTGTCTAGAAAGGAAACTGTATCAAATGTTAAATATAACCAATAGTGTTATCTTTATTTTGAGTCCGTATTTACCAGTAAAAAGAACTATTGGACAAGATTTTTTCGTCAATTCCGATTAAGTAAACTTTAATAATACCAGTAAATCTAGAAAAAAAAACATTAATCATAGTCCAGATAAGATGATGAAGGGATGTAGGTTGAATTTTCCTATAATAATATGAGTAGGCTTCACAATATAAAAAAATTTTAATTAGCCTTGGTTCTAAAAATGTGTTTCCAGCCAGTATGAACCTAAGTTTCGACATTACCGGAGTATCATTAGAACCACAAACAGGAATAAAATCCAGGTAGCGTGTTACGTTACCACTACGTCACACTATCACGAATGCCAGGGGATCACAGGGCACACGTAAGTTTCAAGACAAGTTTCAAGGTCTCTTTCACAGCACATTTTGTAGTAGGATAGCCAATGAA